AAAAAAAATGAGGACTGCGTTTTCCTATAAAAAAAAGGATTTGCATAAATACATACATACATACATATGTAGTTTGTATAACGCCCATTATCCGCCAAGCTAACGAATCGAACAAATCAGTTAAATAGCGTCGATGGGATGGAAACATTCTTTGACACCAGCTTTTCTTGTTCCAATGATTTCAAAGTTCTCAAACAAACTGCAGACGAAACAGCCGAGAAATATTATAATCACCTGTCTGCTGAATAAAAAATATAACCACATAACCAGATAACCCAGCAAGTGTGTACATCCATACTATTTTTATACCCGAGCGCACTTGTGCACAAGGGTATTATAACTTTGTTCACATAACGGTTATTTGTAACAGGCAAAACGAATCGAGATAGATATATACAAAAGTTACTGTCCGTCCGCCCGTCTGTGCTCACGATAACTCGAGTAAAAACTGAGATATCTTAACGAAACTTGGTACGTTTACTTCTTTTGACTGTAGGACGGTTGGTATTGAAAATGGGCAAAATCGGAAAATAGCTACGCCTACCTCCCATATAACGGTAGTTTTCAGAAATACGAAAACTGCGATATTTCGGTAACTACTGAAGCTTATTCACTCAAATTTTAAATTTACAATGCTTTTTAGGCGAAAAATAATAATATTATAAATTTTTGGAAAATGGGCGTAGCCACGCCTAAAATTTCGCCCACTTTTTATATAACGGTAAATTTCAGAAATGTTCGAAACTTTCATTACTTCGATATTTAAGCACGCTAATCGTCGGCCGCTGTGGTGTAGTGGTAAGCAGTGCGCGCTTCCACTCCAAAATGCCTGGGTTCAAACCCTGGTCAAAGCAACATCGCAAAAATATAGAAAAAAGGTTTTTTCTTAACAGCGGTCGTCCCTCGGCAGGCAATGGCAAACCTCCGAGTGTATTTCTGCCATGAAAAACAGCTTCTCATAAAAATACAATCGCCGTTCGGAGTCGGCGTAAAACTGTAGGTCCCTCCGCTTTGTGTGACAACATCAAGGCGCACGCTACAAATCGGAGGAGAAGCTCGGCCAAACACTAACATATGTGTAAGCGCCAATCTATTATTATTATTATTATAATTTAATAAAAATTGATACGCACAACAATCCTTGGGAAAGAAGTAACATTATTATGGAATTTCGGAAAATGGGCGTGATACCGCCCACTTATAACTATATAACTATATTTATCTCATTAAGTCTAACTGAACATACTAGCTAAGATGTGTGAAATAAGGGTAAAGGCAACCCTGCTTACCATGTCACGGTAGTTTTCGGAATGGTGAAAACACTATATCGTCACTTGAAATACAAAAAGACGTAACTAATAAAAAATTCAAAATTCACTTTTTGATTGATATGTCCATCATATTTCATCGAATTACAACTCCCACATCATTTTATGAAAAAAAATTATTAGTCACGACTTTTTACATTTCAGTTACGATGTTGTTACGTCTTTTTGCATTTCAGGTGACGCTATGTATTTAATACTTGCGCCGGGTATTTAATGTTCGGCTTCGCCGAACTTCGACTTTTTTTCATATGACTTCGTGAAGCATTTCTAGTTTCGGCAGGTACAAATATAATCTGCGTGATGAGGTTAAAATGCTGTAAGCGTAAATGCAAATAGGAATATATACGTAAAAGTGTATCGGTTTCGATAGTTATGGGTATCAAGATCGATAAATTCGTGTGAATTTACATACATACATTGTATCTTCGGGTAACAACAGCGTTAAAGAATTTTAGCAAAGGGTTCGATATACAGACCTTTAAATATATCGATAATTACGTCGATAAATATATCGATAACTATACGTAACGACATATTGGCGATGATTATTTTGTATGTATGACGCTAGTTATATCGATCCTCCGCACCTGAAAAGTAAACATCTAAATAAAAAATTTTTTATATTTAAAAAAATTTGGTAGTTATTGTTATGCTCTTAATTTTAAATGTTAACTTTTTTGTTAAAAAAAGAAGAAATACATACATACATATTAAACGCAAGAGAAACATTAATTTTTTGTATTTATTATTCTTGAGTAAAATATATACAGACTTAATTCCGAAAAAAAAAAATATTACCGCGCGAAGCAGTTGTAATCTAGTACATATGTACTATGTATGTGTGTATGTATTTGAATATTATTTTTAATAGTTTTTTTTTAATTCTAATGAATTTTAATCCTGGCCGATATCGATTAAAAACAGTTGTGCGCGTACTAAGCATTAAATTTTCGATTTCAAATTAAAAAAATAATAATATTTTAATAATAGTCGCTTGCGTTCAACTAAATGGTAATGTAGAATAGTCAGGCTAAACGCAATCATAGCTATTTAAACCTCAATCATCATTCGTCTATCAGACCCCATCAGTTGCATATCTTATTTATTTGATATATACATAGAAGTTATTTAAGTACATAATAAATACTTTAAGCAATAGTTAATATATACAGAAGTGAAAGATCCAGATAGACGCCAGGTAGTTTGTTGGTCAGGCATTAATACAAAAAGCGGTTCAAGTCAAAAATAAATAAAAACCAGTAATTTTTAAGCAAAAAATAAAACCGATTTTAACGTTCATATCAAAATTTAAGAGTGCCGTTAATTTTTTCATGATCAAATGATGGGATCTAAATCAAATTAGTATGGGACCACATCTGAGCTACCACCTTTCATTTAAAAAATAATTATAAAAATCGGTATTTTTGTAGCAACTTTTACTAACGGCTTAACGGATGATTCGATTGGTCAAACAAGAGTATAATTATTTATTCGTTCCTGATGTACATATCGCGTGATAGCTAGAGAACATCATATTATAAAAACCAAATCGAAATTAGTAATTTCCCCCTTAAAAAAAAAATAAATACCTAAAACAAAATTTTAGTAAATCGTAGAATTCTATCTAGATTTTCTTCTTTTGTGGTACAATTGAAAAATATCGAAGTGAAGCTTACTTAATCAAAGGAAAATTGGAATTGTGTATGTCCAGCGTATGTTCCAGCGACAAGCGATATGTACTACGAGTATACATAACTAAGGGTGAAGTTCATATGATCAATTTAAATGTTGGTCGATGATTATTTTCGAAATTCATTTTCATATCAAATACTTAAATTATATTTTATTTTAAATACAAATTCACAATTTTCTCTTTATGCTCTTCGAAATTCGGGAAAAGCGACACGGACTAATACAAACTCATAGTGCCAAGTATTCGAATCCGCATGATTTGCTTTTCGAATCGCAATACAGAGTAGGCACGAGCTATTAAACAAACGAAAAATTCGTATAAAAAAAACGAAATTCTTTTCTAAGTTTTTTAACATAATTTGGTCATTGAGTACATATTAAAAGCTGGCATTAGTTTTAAAAATTTTAGGTACATATTGCCGTTTTCAATACAAAAGGCTCTTAAGACTGGTTTTCACTATATCATAATTTGACAACAAATTTTGTCAACATATTTTGACGTAATTGTATCTCCTTTTTCCCATATCTTTACCGATTATATTATGATCCAACAACAGACAGATAGCCAATTTAGCAGCACGTGTACACGACTGAAGACCTATTCCGATCTAAATCAATCGATAAACCGTTTTTAGTTAAATTTGACAATGTGTTTTCACTTATTTGACAACAAATGCCACTGAATTTGACAATTTGAAAACCAGGCATTAGTAACCTTTTTAAAAGAATTTGCTCTCAAGTACAACATAATACTGAAATATGAAGTCATATCACCAGAAATGGGAGTTTTGTGTCTTCTTTAAAACAGTGCTGAAAGCAGTTCTTTTCTATCAAGCAAATGGAATTTTCATATTTGACAGGGCGTTGAGTGTTGGAAGTTGGGCGCGGAAGACGGAAAGAAAGAAAGCGGACAAAAAAGTAAAAGAGGAAACAGGAGTAAACGCGAAAGGAAAAGAGAAAACGGCAAAAATTTGACGCTTTTATTTGGAACGAACGACTCCAGGTCACGCAATAAGCCATCGTTATATTCGTAATCGAATTTCAGAAAAAGTTTTCGTAGCATTTTTGATGTTTTTCATTTTGCTTACATCCTCTGCTTTCGGTTTGGGGTGGCTTTTTTTTAGCAATTTTACGTGTTTTATGAGCGATTTTAATTGTAATTTTGATTTATTACATTTATTACAAATTTATAATATAAAATTAAGTGCTTTGTGATTGCCAAAAGCCCTAAATTTTGCGTGAAAAGTAGGTGCACAGTTGTGGTCAGAATGTTGGCATTGAAAAATCGACCCGTGCTGATGATATGCGATTTTAAAACATTTTCAATCATGAAAACCATATTTTATGAACACTTTTTGCTAATTTTCATCAAATTTCACTTATTATATTTTATAATAAATACCAATATAATCGCACTCAACCACCGGCGCTTTTTCGATTTCTTTGTTTGTTTTCATTCTTAGGCAGATGTCAAAAAACGCACAGAAATTTACTTTTTGCATTCTTTTCCGATTGCGTGACCTTGTTAGTTGGTTCATGTAGCGCGCGTTGGTACTCGTTGGCATAAGAAACCGCATCGCATAACGCTCAAATTTAGTGATGGCATTATGTTAATTAAAATATGTTGGCTTCTATTAAATGTCAGCTTTATCATTTCGCTACTTTGGAATTGAAAACGGCAGTATAAAAGCACAAATTTCACAATTTTTTGGTTTAGACATGAAAAAAAAATATTGTTTTCAATTTACAGATTAAAAAAAAATGTGATTTATGAATTGAGGAACTCGTAAAATTTCGATTTGAAAGTTAGAACGAAAAAATTTTACGACAATAGAAAATTATTTTGCCCCCTTGAGGGTAAAATATGGTTTGAATGATTTTTTTTTTCGAGATTTTATCAAAAATTCAGCCTAATGGATTATGACGAAAACAGGGATATAGTTACTGCAAATTCATTTTATTTATACATATAAAAATATTCACAACGCTCACGTTTTTCAGGGTATAATAACTCAAAATATTCCGTTTATTATCCAGTAGACCAGGATTTAGTCAGAAGTAGACAGATGTAGTCCGGAAGATAGTACTGAAGCTATTGAAGCTAAATGTGTGACCGGGACCTCATGCTAATTATATGGTGACGAGAGTTAAAACAAAATATTGCTAGATATGAACATTTGTATTAATTAATATCAAATTTTGAGTCAGTACCCTTTTGAAGAACGTGTGCAGAATAAAAAAAGCTGACCTTTTTATTCGAAAAAAATTTTAAATTTTGAATTAAACATTAAGTTTGATCGGCTGATTGAAATATTTAAAATATAACTCACTTGATTCAAATTTTAATTTTCTTCCTTAAATCTTAGCCTAAAGTCCGAAATCTCTTGTTCGTAGTTTAAAAATTTATTAAGTGAACAGCCAACAAGAGTTTAACTACGGGATCATATTTACAATCGCATGGTAACTATAAAGATTCGAAGATATTAGAAATAAACTTTTCTTAACAAGTCACTGTGACTACAAAAATTGATAATTGAACCCTTGTCAGAGTTTATCTACACACTGAATTAGGCCTTATCTTTTTATTTTTTATTATAAGTAACATCACTTTTCAGTTTGCCTAATATTTACTACCATAGTTAAAAAAAAAAGTATTTTAATTTATTGCACAAATTTTATAAATAAATTTCTCATTTGATAGACTCACTATAACTAATTTTTAACTCGCCTAGCAATTAAAAATTTCATAATTTTTTTTTTTTGTTAGAACTAAAAAGGAGAAAATGTATTTTTTCAGTAGTTTTATTTAGTTAATTTATCTTACAAGATTACTTCGAATTTAAATAATTGATATATCGTCAACATAAAATAAAATAATCACATAGTTAATAAAAAAAAAATAAACTGTTGCATACGAGAATATTACCAAATGTATAAGTGTATAGAATGCAAATGTTTTAAAAATAATAAAAACAAAGTTGTAACCAAAAAAACTATGCCATAAGTGATGGAAAAGAAACGAATTCTGTGATTATGTTGTTATTGTACCAACACATGTATGCATTTAATCTTTCATGTTGTTGTTGTTGTCACTAGGTTAATAAGTAAATAAGCGAATGCAAAAAGAAATAAAATTAAAAAAAAAATACAAAAGACTCATAACAGAGAAAAAAGCAGAAAATAAGCATAAAAAATACGAAAAGAGCTAAGTTTTCGCCTAGTAAACATATTTATTGTATATTACTAGAACGTATCGACAAGTTAAATCAATAAAAAAGTTCACAAATTGAGTTGAAAACCAAAACAATGCGCTTGTTTTTATTTAAAAAAGAAAACGAAAAAAAGTTTGGCTTTCCTATTCACATAGCCAGCGGACAATCATTTTCACCCATTTCCACACATATTATTATGCATTTTATTCGTTCGTCGTCCTTTATAAACATTGCTCATTAAACTTATTCACACTGTTAAATTATATATACTTTTTTACAATATTCAATTGTTTTTTTTTTATTTTTTCTAAAATTTCGCACTTTTGCAAACGTTTATAATTTTTCCATATCTACTTCATACCTTCTATAAATCATTCATACACCAAGATTCATAAAAAGTATATATATATAGTACATAAATAGGTCGGCCTGCACAAAATGGGTGCTGCTTCATATTACTGCAAAAACCGGTCACGCTAAGTAGATAAAATTTGAACTACTTAAATTGTGGATATTTTTGACAGTAATTAGGTTTGTTGATCACACACACTTTCTTCTAAGCTTATATAAAATACATAGTTCTAGTCGCCAATGAATACAAACTAATAGATTCTTTTTTCTTTTTCCCATTCACAGGATTTTCAATTATTCATAATTAAATATGAAAAATATACACAAAATTTACATAAACATTTTTTTTTTTAATTAACCCAATTTGGAAATTTCTTAAAATTCTAACTATTTTTACTACTTACCATTCTCATTGCAGTGTCAAATGGGCCATTTAATGTGTGCCGCTTGTTTTACACATTTACTCGCTGATGGACGGTATGACTTTAAAAAATATTTGAAAAAAAAAATATATCTATCTATACATATAAACATTTTATAATCATTAAAAAAAAAAACAATCATTAACTGCAACTCAACTTGTTCTAGCATTTTTCAGCACAAATTATTTAAAACAAAGAAAAAAAAAACATTTTTTATGTATTTATCCTTTTCTTATTTCTGCAATTGCAAATAGTTTACGCGATCAAATTGCCACCTGCCCAAATTGTCGGGTTGAGATTTCAAAAAGCACTGCATCACGTAATCTGGCCGTGGAGAAAGCCGCCTCCGAGTTGCCCAGCGAGTGTCAAGTATTTCAGCGAAACAAATAAAAGCATTTAACAATATTTTAACAATGTGTTTTTGTTTTTCTATTTTCTAGTATTGCAATAAAGAATTCCCATACAAGTCGCTGGATCGCCATGAGCAATACGAGTGCCAGGAACGGCCTACAAACTGCAAATATTCACGAATTGGCTGTCAATGGCGTGGACCGAATCATGAGAGTGCGTACCTATTGAGCAAATAAAGCGATTAGCTAGCATATCCTCTATTTCTTACATTATTCATATTTCCACAGCTACTGAGCATGAACGCAACTGTTTGCATCCCACAAAATCGGGTTACGAGGTAATGGCTGCACTGGAAGCCCATGATGCCAAAATTAAGGAGGAAAAGAAAATGTTTAGTACACTTATAGATTTGCTGAGTTATGAAAAGATTATATTTAATGGTAAGTAATAGCATATTTCACACTAAAAATATTTATTTAATAATCTATTTTTACTCATGTGAATATCATTGTGTATACTTTTCTCAGATTTACAAATGAAACCCTATCGTACCGATGAATATGTACACAAATTATTCTATGAGACGGCTAGATTTACGGCATTCAATCAACAATGGGTGGTAAAAGCACGGATTAATAATAGTCAACGTGATCCGCACCAATCAAATGAACGTACCATAACGTATCAGGTATTGCTATGTATCTAATGTGAACAATGCAGTTTGTTGCATTAATTCTTTATAGTTAAATATAAAAAAAAAAAATTTGTTGATAACATATCTAACTCTTTTATTTTAACAGTTAATTTTGAAAACAAAAACCAGCACACCCATGAGTATTCATTTCTTTGCTTTGAAAGGACCCTTCTCAGATATGAAGGTGGCTACACAAATCTACAAACACGAATTTACAGACCAAGTAAGTGATTGATGAACTAAATTTCATTTCTTATTTATTGCCGTTACCCATGCAGAAATGCCCTAAAATACAAATTTAAGGTAGTGCGATTTCTCTTAGTTTTTTCTTAGACACATTCCCATAACAAAATTCAAGGTCCAACCCCGAAAGCATTTCTATGTTAATTTAAATTAGTGTTGGTGATCGCACGATTAGGCGATATAAAAATTTTTTGCACAAATGGTGATAATTTTCTTGAAAATTTCCATTTTTGGAGCCTTAGAAATTCAATCCTTCAGTCAAATGCGAGATATTGGGCCTGTTCAATAAAAACTAAGTAATTTTTGTTAATAAATTTGCAGATCTTTTACTTAAATTTATTTGAATAAATCGAGTTCTAGTTCTGAAATTAAAAAAAAAAGCAATGGCTTAGTTTTCATTCATAAGCCCCATTAAGTCTTCAAAATTTTAATCGGTATGTGGCATGGCCATCGAGGAACCAGAATTTTTTTTTTTCAACAACATTCGAGATCATCGCTAATGAATTGTAACAAGCGCACGTACCTGCAGATTGCGCGCTATTAATAGCTATAATTTAGGCTCTAAGTAGTGCCTAGATGTATCTGAAATTGGTTAGAAAATAATCTTAAGAGGATTTAAGTCGATCATAAAGCGGACCCTCTCCTTGTAAGATTCCTGCACACGGGCCTGGAGTGAGTAATAAGCAAATCGTCGATGTTTTTGCAAAGCCGCCCATCGACCAATTCCGAAACCACCTATCTACTAAACTCAAATTTTACAGGAGAGCAAAAAAAAACGGTTTTACTTTGAAGGCAAGGCCATGATAGGTGGTATTTTCTCTAGCTATTATTTTACAAATCGTTGTTTTAATAACGACTTTATGATTTTTATGCATAAATCTCGATGCCTGGAGTTCAGGGTTACCAAATCTCATTTTTGCCACAACGGCGATTTAGGCGGTTTTGCAAAAACATCAACGAAATGGAAACCTCTAAAAATATTTGATAGATCGCGAAAGAATCGTTAATAGTACAGCATCAAACAGTATTAAAAATATGCTATAGAAGCACAACAGTGAACAAAAGCTTAGCTAAGTAGCAACGACATGCTAAAACAGTATATGTGAGATGGAATGGCATGGCACAACACATTGTTTGACTTGACATGACATAGCAATGCATGAAATTTTTGAAAGACATTTTTACTGAAAATTTTGAATTTTGCAGTTCTTTAGTATGTACATATCGTGAAAGTGAGAAAAAAGTGAGTTTAAGCTCCAACTCGATTTTCAGTACAAACTCTTGAGCTTGAGCTCACCCCTTCAGTGCAAAAATTGAGTCTGAGCTTAGGCTCAGTGTTAATGCATGAGCCCCAATATGTTCAGTGTAACAGATAACTAAACGTACCAAAAATGGCAAAGATATGTGTCTTTCCATCTGTCGTTTTGTATGCCAAATGTATGCATTGAGCAAACTTTGATTGCGTTTTTCACAAAGTTGGAATTTTAAAATAATTTTCTATATTATTAAACGTGCGATATTAATTTACATAAGAACTGAGCTATATAAAATTTGAACTCACTCAGATGGGATATTTTCTACGGTATCCTTAGTTCGCAAATTGTGGATTTTCTTATACTTATTTCGGTAATTAAAATATAGTAGTTAAGTTTGTTACTCATATTGCTTCCAAAGGCTATGTATTCAATTAAAAAGCATTTCCTTTTACTGAATAAAAAATGTGACTGCTAGCTGACTTATGCAGTAAGAAGAAATTTAAAATATGTGTATGTACATACGATAATTTCACAGCTCTCTTAAAATTCATATTTTAATGATTATCAAGTTGCCTTTATTAGTTTAAGATAGTTTCAAAAGTCTTATCATTTCCCATTACAGACCTTCAAGTTACATTTTCTATATACATAAATAAGTAAATATGTACATTTATATACATATATTAAAAAAATACATACATACATACACATATAAAGTAAATTAAGATATTTTCTATTTTGTTTTTGTCTATACGTATGTATGTCATAAAAATGTACTAAAATCTACAATATGAATATTTGTTCTCTACAGAGTAGCGAAAGTGATTATTACATACTACCACTGCCGGATAGCTCGGAGTGCAATAGGCTCTTATCGAACAAAGGAATCAATTTCCGGTATGACGCAATCATTTACGTATTCGTATAAACGATAATTATTTTGCTAATTACTTTCTCTTTTCAGTCTCTTGATGTTTTTGCTTAATAAATAAATAAATGTTTACTAATTTATTTATATTTGCAAAGAAATGATATAAGTATCTATATATATATATATTTTTTCGATTCAATAATATTTCATAGTTTAAGCTATGTTTTACATATAAATAAGTCGTTTATAATACTTAAAGTTTAATTCATTAGGTACGCATTGATTTGAAGCGGGTAGCAGTGCGAAAAAAGGGTAAATTGGCGGCACTCGATTTGTCAATCGTCGTAAAACTGCTAAACATTGAATTTTATATTTTGTATACATACATATATAGTATGAATCGTTTATATTGAAAGTGGCATAAGTCATTTCCACCTCTTAACAAAACACAATGACAAAACATACCTTTGGCTGATGAAGTTGAATGAATAACAGATGCGTTGAGATACAGGCGAATGATCGCTGAAGTCAAATGGTATGAAATGACTTATGCCACTTTCAAAATAAACGGTTCATATGCATGTATTGAGAGTGTTCTATCAAAATCGTACATATACATACCTATATTTTTATTATGATAATTTGTCCACTAAAGTTATATACATAAATATATATATATTTTAAGTGAAATTAAAGTTAAACTAATATTTACACACTCATATATGTATGAATGTACATCCAAATACACATATTATGTAAGCGCATGCTCGTACATTACAAAAACATGTGGACAAAAGTAGAAAAAGATGCTAAAAGTTTCGTCGAACACGAACACACGTAACACATCTTAAAATTACTATAGTTAAAATTAAAACAAAAATGTTCTTTGACGTCAACTCAAAGACGAACTAGGTTTAGAAAAATAAAGCCGCCATGCGTTTTCATTTAATATGCCTTCACATATTCTACTATATATAAATATTTAAATGACAATTGATTTCTAAAATTTTGGCTGCTTAAAGGCGGGGTCCATCGTTCTAGTTTAGAACTTTTATTCCATATAGTTGTTGTTGTGTTTCTCTCCCAATTCGGAGAAAGAGAACAACTGAGAAAAGTTCTGAACTCTTTTGAGTTGTTAACTGAATTTCAGCTTTAGTTACGAACATTTTTGATATTGCATTTCGGTTCTGAAAACTTTATAAATTTATTTAAAATTACTTAAAAGGAAAAATTAAAATTGGCAAAATAACTTCAAATTTCCAATTGCTAAAGTTGTAATTTTGACAGCACGAACTATTGAATGAGTGATGAATCTACCTTCAGACCTTTATCTTCGTTTAAGAGGATGGGTAAGTGAAAAAACCAGTGAACCAGAACGATAAATCCGCCTTAAAATTAATTCTTACTTACATACATTATGTACCTTCAGTATCTTCTCCAACCACAATTCAATAAACATACTTCTAATTTTCTAAGCGTTTGTCGTACTGCAATAATTTTTTTCTTTTCATAATCGTTGAAGCTTAAGTTATGTATACACAATTCTTGTTAACACTTGATAAATTAATAAAAATAATCGAGGGTAGAATTTCATATGTATGTGTAAGGATCTCAACATCGCTATAACAAAATAAATTTAGATCAGCGTAATAAGAAATAATAATTAAAAGTAAATATAATTGCATATATTTAATCTTCAAATAAAGTTAATAGCTAAAACAATAATATTAATGTACCAAATAAAAATTCATTTATATACATACATACATAGTACGTACATACAAATCAACACACATTGTCATTATAATGAATGCAGATGTTCACTTTCTTCTCGCATAACATACACCATAGCGTACATGCATACACACATACATAGGTCAATGTACTGTAGATTGTACACTGCAGCGCTTATAAATATTAATAAATAAATGTATTACATACAAATTTAATTTGTAATGCTTCTATTAAAACAATAAGGATACCCGTGTCGATAAGTCACGTCACTGTAAGAGCCAACACCACTCGATAAGTTGTAAAATGACAAATGACACAAGTCGTCAAACTATTAAATCATTAATTAGTAAACTCATATGATTTTTTTTTCTGCATCACTTGAGTACATAAATACATACATATGTGTTGCAAAATTTTCAACGGTTAGCAATATTCGAATTTCTATTACAGCTTTATGAGTTCATCAATTTGTTCACAGTTCGTTGGAGTTTAGGTTTACACTACTTGCAGTTACCAATTATTTGCACTCGGTTCAAAATTAGACGTTAGTTCATCTTAATCACAGTATGAAAAGAAAGTCACAATCACTCAGTCATTCCTTTGAAATATCTGTGTATCCCGAAATTAGACATCTAATAGTGGAAAAATAAGTCACAATTAAAAAAAAACAGATCTCGGCTAAAGAACCGGTAAACGAACTGTGAACTATTTGCTTGACGTCCAATTTCAGAAGAGAATCGGGGCTAGTCTGGTTAAACAGGAGTTTACGTGGGTATCTCTTGGCAATTGAAGCTCTTCTGCGATTGTGCTCGATGACGGCATTCACAGGACGGTAGTTACTGAAGGTGGCGGCAGTCTCCCGGTGAATGCCGTTTATTGCCTGCCTATACAGTGCCGGTTCCAGTGGTCGTGGCGTGTAGTCCTGGACCTGGTCCTTCAGTTCGTAGAGGTTCCGCTTCAAGCAAGTGCATGTTTAGGTGCTCACATCTCTTGCAACCTACTAAGAACTGCTTGCTGAGCTCCCTTACTGGCAACATTTGGGCCTCGTATCTAACTACTCGGCTACAGCTGCCGTCGATCGGCTAGTGAGAACGCGTAAAAAGAAAATTTCTATCATTCGTTGGTGTGCCCTTTGAAATAGTGTAAATCGATGTAAAACTAGATAACTTTAACAAAATGGGAATTCGGTAGAATTTATTATGTTTCTCCTAATAAACTATGAAGCAATCAATTTCCTATTTCTCTTCAGAACTGCATTTCCAAATAATTTTATTGTTGCATTCATCCAGTCAAAAACTATGTAAATTTCCGCGTTGCACCTTTCCAAACTAAACAAGTTTCAATAAACACGTAGTAAATAGACTATAAACAAAAGTAATAAAAAGAAAAATTGTAATGTTAAATTAATTTTTCTCTTTCGCACCTGAGCATAATTACATACATACATATAACATTTAGTCTGAGAATACTTTGTAGATCTAAACACGTTAAAACAAAAAAAAAATCAAACAATGTAAAAAACAGCAAGAAATAAATCAAAGAAATCTTCATTACAAAAGTAAAATCCTTGATAAGACAAGTTTCAATAAAGAGAAATAAAACGAATTTTATCTATTTGTTTTTAATTAACTCGCCCATTATGAATTTCCATACGATAGACGATAACCGTTTGCAGGCGTTTCGTATGACATTAGTTTTCATATTATCTTTTCATATGCCCGACAGATGTATTAATTTGAATGTCTGTGAGTTTTGTTCACTTTTTATCGTTAAACAACACAAATCAGTTACGCTAACTTTCAGATTTGCTACGACAAACTTCGTTTCGTAATAGGGGATAACGGAATGCAAGCGTTTAAGAGTGAAAAATTTCCAAGTCACAATTTAAAAATTGTACAGGAGAGGAAAAAACTTCTTATAGCCATTTTCTTCAAGTATTTCGCAAAACTTTGAATACAACATTTTGCAAAGCAAAACTTCAAACGAATTAGAGGGATTCGATCTATATTAAAATATTTCGTCCTATTTTGGTATTATCGAATTTTCAGAGCCTTTCTTGGACTTTGCAAATTTTCCTTTCATTGAATATATACGAGAAAACATAAAAAAAGGACCTTTACCCTTTTCGAAACGATGCATTTTTAATTTCTCTAGCTTGATGTATCAAAATATATGATGAAGAGTGGACTTAACAACTTTTCACTCTAAGCTAGCGATATGTAGATGATTAGGTTAGAATCGGGGAATCTTTACTCTCCTGAAAATTCTAAGCAAGCAGCGATTTGATAAACAGGAAGGCTATTCAATAAAATGTTTGGCATGCTTTTTTGCTAAAACCCATTTCGCGAAAGGAGCTGAAGATTTAAACTATTCTTCAATCCAAAAGACTTGAATTGACTCGACATGTTTTCTGATCTGCAAACATGTTAATCTCCATTCCGCATATCTGCGATGATTTTGATCACCATGAGCTGTCACTACGTACAACACCTTGTAAACGGTGATTTTTTAAGAGCTTGATAACTTTTTTTTAAAAAAAAACGCATAAAATTTGCAAAATCTCATCGGTTCTTTATTTGAAACGTTAGATTGGTCCATGACATTTACTTTTTGAAGATAATTTCATTTAAATGTTGACCGCGGCTGCGTCTTAGGTGGTCCATTCGGAAAGTCCAATTTTGGGCAACTTTTTCGAGCATTTCGGCCGGAATAGCCCGAATTTCTTCGGAAATGTTGTCTTCCAAAGCTGGAATAGTTGCTGGCTTATTTCTGTAGACTTTAGACTTGACGTAGCCCCACAAAAAATAGTCTAAAGGCGTCAAATCGCATGATCTTGGTGGCCAACTTACCGGTCCATTTCTTGAGATGAATTGTTCTCCGAAGTTTTCCCTCAAAATGGCCATAGAATCGCGAGCTGTGTGGCATGTAGCGCCATCTTGTTGAAACCACATGTCAACCAAGTTCAGTTCTTCCATTTTTGGCAACAAAAAGTTTGTTAGCATCGAACGATAGCGATCGCCATTCACCGTAACGTTGCGTCCAACAGCATCTTTGAAAAAATACGGTCCAATGATTCCACCAGCGTACAAACCACACCAAACAGTGCATTTTTCGGGATGCATGGGCAGTTCTTGAACGGCTTCTGGTTGCTCTTCACTCCAAATGCGGCAATTTTGCTTATTTACGAAGCCATTCAACCAGAAATGAGCCTCATCGCTGAACAAAATTTGTCGATAAAAAAGCGGATTTTCTGCCAACTTTTCTAGGGCCCATTCACTGAAAATTCGACGTTGTGGCAGATCGTTCGGCTTCAGTTCTTGCACGAGCTGTATTTTATACGGTTTTACACCAAGATCTTTGCGAATCGACATTTCACGGTCTTCAGCAACACTCTCAGAAACAGACGCAATATTCTCTTCTGTACGCACTGTACGCATTCGTGTGGTTGGTTTAATGTCCAATAAAGTAAACTGAGTGCGAAACTTGGTCACAATCGCATTAATTGTTTGCTCACTTGGTCGATTATGTAGACCATAAATCGGACGTAAAGCGCGAAACACATTTCGAACCGAACACTGATTTTGGTAATAAAATTCAATGATTTGCAAGCGTTGCTCGTTAGAAAGTCTATTCATGATGAAATTTCAAAGCATACTGAGCATCTCAGTATATCCAGTAAAAAAACTGTGGTGAAGTCCTTTATGGGGATAAAGTTTCCAGAGGTGAAATTTTAGGTAGCACACAATTTCTTACACGCATGGTTGCTTTTCAGCACTCATGTAAGAAACTTAAGAAATATTTGAAAAAAAAAGTTCATATAGTACATTAATTTTGAAAGAAATACCATATAATGTATGTACTCTGGTTAATAATATCAAAAAATGTATTAGAACCACCGTTTAATGTTATATTTGATACAAATTAATATTGCTGCCCCGAACGCTCTGCGCCTTGCCACTGAATAATAGATTTACTTAAAATTACATCCCTGGTCCTTGTTCTTTCTGTATCGCATCGTGGTGAATTCACATTTCTCAGAAATTTGACAACAAAACAAAACAAAGCGAGTATTTTATTTGCTAATTTTTGCGATTTCTATTGTTTAATGTAAATTTGTCTTTTTAGGATATGTCGAGCCAACAAAGAAGGCGCAGTTGGAAAATTGAGTAATTAGTAATGAAGTAGCAGGCATATTTGGAAAATTATGCCGATAAGCAGGATGGAATTTGGGAAAGTAAGTGCATGGTTGCAGCATATCTATGTATAAAAAGTATTTAATTAAATTGTTTATAGAAATGTTATAAATCGAGTGGCTCATTTACGATGTGCTCCAAACATTTGGCGAACTTTTTTTCGCCTTTTCAACGTGCTAAGTAACAAGTTAAGATGACTGCCATCACGGCCGGTAAGAAACCGCAAGCAAAGGGCATACAACCTTCCAGGAAGCTGCCTCCTGTCCCCGAGCCGAAGCTGCAGTTCTGCAAGAGCAGGTCAGCAAATTGCTACCCTGATCAAACGTAAACTAAAGCGCTCTGCTGTGATTGCACTCCGTAAATGTGAAAACTTGGTGCATGCTGAGAAATATCAAACAAGAAAACTCCGTGATGGACGCCGTGAGATGGAGTAACGCTATGTGGCAAAGAAATGCGGCCAATTCGATGGGCCTGAAAAGTCCAAATTGGCTTTTGTGATCCGCATCCGCGGTATCAACAAAGTTGCACAAAAAGTGCGTAGTTTTACAGTTCTGTCTTCGCCACATTAAAGCGGTGTGTTCATCAAATTGAGCAAGGCAACCATTAATATGCTACGTATGCCGAACCCCCTATATGGGGTTATCGAAATCTTAAATCAGTTTGTGAATTGATGTACATACGTGGAATGGTCAAGCGTGTCCCAATCTCTGCTTTGTGATCGAACGCAAATTTCGCGAAGCGCACGAAATTCAGTGCGTTGATTCACTTCACTTCAAGAAAGCGCCCAACTTCCTGTTGCTATTCAAGCTCAACACATCAACCCGAGGCTGGCGCAAGAAGGCTAATCACTACGTTGAGGTTGGTGATTTCGGTAGCCGTGAGGATAAGATCAACAAATTGCTGCACAAGATGGCTTAAAGAAATTGTTGTTTTGTATTTAAGTCGACAATATAATTTGGCACATCTTCAAAAGACGCCCAAGCAAAAAAAAAAAAGAAAATTAAAAAATTCCTGAAGTTGCCTTTTCACGGGTCGATTTCTGTCGACTGGAAAATTTACTTAAGATATCGACTAGCCAAAACGCTTACATTTTACGGTTGAATTGCAATTTACACGCGTAGATTTTGGTTAAACGACAAAAATCGACCGTGTAAAGGCAGCTTAAATAACGTTCAAATTAATCATCCCCTTTGAGATGGAAAATACCAATAACCATTTCATAATTTCGAAAATTATTCCATTTATATTTGTTCTTGCATTTTCCACACCACTTGTGAGGTATGCTTTTACGCGCGTTACCGATTTTTTTTTAATGTGCTCGGTTGCCCAGGAGGCCTATTTTCACCTTTACAACTTAACTTAAACAGAATTAAAACTAAAGCATGCAATATATAAAGAAAATTAAAAGTTGTCTTACATCTAGTAAACTTAAAAAATTGCACATTAAATTCATTTTTCATTATAAAATAGAATTAAATATCACAATTCAGTTTACAAAATGTGGTCTGTTTGCACCCACAGTAAGTTCCCATGAAGCCTAGCCTAAATTCAGAATTGAAAAAAAACGAGGAAGTGGGGTCGGAAACTACTAGCCCTAAAAGCATAGTGGAAAATGTTTGAAGAGCTGCGAAATTGGGTTGCAATAATAAAAATAACAGTGCATAAATTGGAAAAAATGGTTTTTGTTTTGCTTTATAATTTTTGGGAATATTGGTTCAGATGGAATTTTTTTATTTGTTTGGTTTTTCAGCTCGTTAATGATGCACCCAGGGTTGCATTTACTGTCTGAAAATATTTCGTGAAGCGTTCCAAAATTAGCTCCGAGCAACTAAAAGTTGGTTAACTTAAATGAAATAGTTTTTTATTAAATATTTATTCCTGGTATTTAGTAAAAAACATCAATACTAATGTATGAAAAACAAAACATCAATGCTAATGTATGAAATGAAGTAAATAAAAATCTACGAATACATTCCATGAATATTTTGTCATAGAGCCATTATTAAATTTAGACATAACTTTGTCAGGCGTTGGTACTGACGTATATAGAATTAATGCGTTGGAGAGAGATAAATATACAAGTTCAACGCGCTAATTTAGGTATCCTTGTATGTATATACCTGTTACTCGTCTGGCATATACTCCAACTGCGAAAATAATGACAATTATAATTTATGTAGATCCCTGGATAAAAGATTGTCACAAGTTACTTTCGGTAACTCACGATTGAAGTTTGGAATGCAATTTCTCAGAAACACGACTACAGATTTTCTCCAAAGTGTCGGAGAATGCTATGTACTAGTTCATGAAA